CTCGGTTCGAAGGGTTGTTCCCCAGGCCGCCCGGTATAACGCCTGTTATAACGCCAAGCTCTCCTATGGGAACTAGATAGGCGGGTTTTGATCTAGGACCAAGTGAAGGAAGCCCTGCCCTAGTGGCCGTTACTGGCCAGCCTCTGACAGGGGGCCCCCTTGAACCCGCTTGCCGCAGGTATGACTCTGGTAACTGATGCCTCCTCCCAAGGTTGGGGAGCGCATCTACTGGACGAACAAGTCCAAGGATATGGCCCCCGCATTAGTTTCGGGACTACCATATCAACCGGCTTGAACTAAGCAGTATACTTAGCACTACCACGCTTTCTCCCCGTAGTTCGAGACCACAGAATCCTGCTCCACACAGGCAACACAGTGGTGGTCTTTTTCAGGAATGAGGGGGGGGGGGGGCGTTCCTCATCGTTGTCAGTCCTAGCGAAGCAAACCCTCCTTTGGTGCCTGGAATACAATGTGGAGCTAACCTAGCACCACTTTCCAGGGGTGAGTAACAGTCTGGCAGACGCCCTTTCAGGGCGGCTTCGTCAGGCTTCAACAGGTGCACGCCTGCACATTATCATTGGTCACACCCAATTGGCCAAGCAAGGCCTAGTTTCCACTTTTGTCGGAAATGCTAGTCGAAACACCAGTAGTGCTTCTGAACTTACCGGACCTGCCGTCCCAACCAGACGGCGCACTACCAACGAGCCCAGCGGGTATCACTTACATGCATAGAGGCTCTCATTAGACCCGCACATACAAAAGCCTTATCTGAGCGGGCTACCAACGTCCTGGCCAGGGCGAACAGAGATTCCACCAATGCAGCCTACATTTCTAGACTGCGAGCATACACTGATTGGTGTAGCGGAAGGGAGATTGATCCATACCATCCCTCTCTTGGCCAGGTAGCAGGCTCCTTCGTCCACCTGTTTGACGAAGTGGGTTTGTCCTACGCAGCGATCGCTGGCTACAGGTCGGCCTTGTCCCCCCCACCATTGAGAACGTACGGGAACAAGACTAGCCGATTGTCCTATTATTAGGAGACCATTACTGCTTTCCAGACGCCAAGACCACATATAAGGGAACCGCCCAACTCGAACTTGTTGGCTGTGTTGTCTGCTCTAAGCAGACCGCCCTTTGAGCCTCTCTGATCAGCACCACTCAAATTTTTTGACGTGGAAAATAGTCTTCCTACTGGCCCTCGCCTCAGGTAGGCATCGACCAGAGCTGGGGGCATTGTCCTTCTCGGATGAAGTACCGCCGTTATGGACAATCAAGTTGTGCGAAAAAAACGAATCGGGTTTCTCGCCTACAACCAAATCCAAGGACACGATCCTTCACCCGATCGTCATCCCCCGGCTGTCAAATTTTGGTCTGCTAGGGGTGTCAGGAGGAATTGCTTCTCTGCCCGGTTCGAGCACGGAGTTGCTACCAAACCGTACTAAGGATTCAGGACGGGGTGCCAGGCACAT